GTGGCTTTTCACACCTTTGCATATAACATTGGGTTATTGTCTCATTAAACATTGATAGCTCCAGAGAAGCATTAACACTATTTTTGTAAGTGTTACGTTGCGGAACGATGCAGTGTTAGAAAATAGGGGCTAATTTTTTAGCAATAAACAAACAACCAATATTTAATGAGGTGTTAAATGGTGGAAGAAAATTTGTTAATTAGAATGAATACACCATTTTAATGTGATAAGCATTTTTTTACTTTCTACTGTAGCACACAAAAAAACGCATCTTTCTCTTGCTGTATCAGCTGTAATACTTACACTTCTGTCTTTTAAGTTTATGGTTCCTGCAGAAACAGTAAATCACACCAACAACAGCAGCCACAGCCAGCGACAGCAGGATTGCACCAACAAATACTGCTATTATTTCAGCTAAAAGTAGACCCTGAGTTTCTACATGTGAACCTGTAGTGAATAGAGAAAGAGAGTCGTTCGTTTGTTCTGTATCAAACACTACAAAACATCAGCACATCTGAGATAGTAGATATGAATGATTCAATTTAAAGTAGAACATCGTGCTACATAAATGGTTGCCATGAAGTAAAAAGTCATTCATCATATCATATCATGTGTTTGTTCTGAGATTTAGGGTTAACACGTTATGAGTATCACTATCATTTACAAATTGTCATGACTTTTCCAGTCATTTTTGATGAAAGGACTGTTAAAATCATTTCATAGAAATTATGATCACAACTGAATAACTAATTCATTTTTGCTGTACATGGATTGAACAAAGTAAGAAAAATGCATATTCACTATAGAACTTTTACAATTTTAACTTTCTAGATCAGACCAGTTCTGCATTGTAACTGCATCTTGCATCCATTGATCGTGCTTTTGAACCTCATCGACTTATCGACTGTAAAGTATTGAACACAGTTAGTGCAAATTCTACCAATTTAAATGTCAGCAGGGTAACGTCACCCACATGAGGTTTTGTCTAGACTGTGAGAATGACTTGAAAACAATATTTAGATTGATTTATACAGTAATTCATGATACTATGGAGTTAAATTTTCAGGTTTTAAGCAACACCCAACATAAAAATATGTTGCTAGAAATCACAGCCAGTGAAAATACTGGAGAAGCAAGTAGAAATCTGAGGCACTGGCCTGAAAAGACCAATCAGGGCTTGAATTTCGGCGCGGGATTGCGTATAATTCTACGGATTCCCACAGTTTCCGCGGGAAATTCCAGCAAATAGACGCTCGCGATAGATGACGTAATGTATCATTTGCACGTGCTTTTGAGTCTTACCATTTTAAACATTCAAGTGCTCAATTCAGTACTTGCGCGCTCTATGACTGTGAGACCCTTTCTGTGAGTCGCCTCACACCCAAAGCGTGCGCGCCTTTGCGCATAAACGGCCTAATATGTCAAAGTGCCCATCTTGATGAGTATTCATGTAAACAGTCGATTTATACTAAACATTGTCGGTATACAGACTATTAAGTTAATGTAAACAGAAACAAAACTTGTGTAACAGTTTGCATGAGGTCTTAAAGAGACAGTAACCTAAATAAACCTGCTGTCTGTCATTAATGTTTATTTATACATTGAAGACTAACCAGTGTTATTTTAAAGTTAAATAGATGATTCTGTTTCTGTGGTATTTCTGTACCTGGATATTACTGTTAAACCTACCTGAAAAACTTAAAGCACAGTTAATTTTAGTTGTATCTTGTTATTGTATTTGTTTGTGCCATTGCTTGTCATTAATCTATTCTTATTTTATTACTGACTGTTTACTTGTCTTTTTTAGTTAAAATAAATTCAATTCAGAGTTTGAACGTTTTTTAAGTATCTTCCTCACAATATAAATTAACATACTTGTTTATCTGAATTGTAAAACACAAATACACTGGGTGACGAAACATTT